GGGTCTAGAGCTTAAGAAATTAAAATGGGGGATATTCAGTTTATTTATGTCAGCTAAGCTTGGCGTTTTTCATTCCCAGAAACGGGTTCATTATTCACCACTTGGGATCTACCAATAACTTGGCCTTACCGTGCAAGACAAAAAAAAAAATAACAGGAGTCAACTTCAGTTACATTTGCAACAAATGAGATCAAGAGTTCCTCTCTAGATACTATTAAAGAACCAATCTGGCTGTATACTGTGTATATTATATGGGTTATCACGTGACTAAAACCGCCGTTGGTTTAGGATTTGGAATCTCGAGTTTTTAAAATGAAGAACGAAAACGAATAAACCTAAATGAAAAACTTCACTTTCTTAAGCCTGATAGGCGATCTATTAAGGCATGCGAATTTCGTTGCTATACAATCAAATAAACATCAATTTAGTTTATTATATATATAAAAAAAACAATAAATTTTGGAGTAGCAAATAACTCAATCCTGTTAAGGTATTCTAAGAAATTCACTATTGGGACAAATCATTTCTTAGAACCAGTGCACAGTTTCGAGATCTTTTACTGTTGGACACGTTCTGCACTTTAAATACATAGTTCTTCAAGTAAAAATTCCGTGAACTGTTCTTGATCATTAAACCACTCATTGCCTTATAGAGTTTATTTATTCATACCTAAAACGGTAACCGTTGACTCCTCTTCGACTTTTCCTCGCAGTGTCCTCGCAGTGCATGTGTAGACTAGAGCGTATCTGTTATCGATGTTTCTTATGACGAGATCATTTCCAACTTTCTGAGCTTTGCCAATGGACACAGATCTACCTTGATTGGTCCAATAGACAAAAGGATTGCCTGGCCCTTCAACGGGACAACGAATGGTGAGGGTTGCGCCCCGGTAAACTGTAGCGTCACTTCCAATTGTGATCTCTGCTACTTTATCGTTGGGTCCAAACGACACGTGACCATCAGATGTGAGTATTATGGGCAAAGAAGGGTCTGTAACAAGAAAAATATATCAAAGGATAAACTGGTTAAAAGTTAAAACGGTCATCACAGAGGATGCAAAGTGGAGAGAAAAAACAGGTACTCTTGACGGAGCACATCCAAAGAGTTCTTATATATATGAAAAACCGACCCGGTCACGCACGGCTGTAAAGATTTCGTTTTAGAGCCAGCCAAGCAAAATTACTCTTAAATAATAGAACGAATTGCGTTAGCCCAAGAAGCAGTAGTATTCTCTCCAAAGCGCAGAAGGTGTGGGAATGCAAGGAGCTTAAGAAAGAGAAAAACAAAATCGGGACGGAAGGGCGTGGGGGAGGAAGAGAATGCCATCCCACCCCTCTCATACCACCCCTGTATTTGCTTCTTAACGCGCCCCGTGCTCCAACAAGACAAGATTGCTACCCTAGCCAGATTGCATAACAGAAAAATGTTTGTACAGTGTATTTTTACTTACTTAGTCGTTTAAGCGTGAAATATTCCTCCGACTTCCCTTCTTCATTTGAAGCTTTACACGTATACGAGCCTTCATTGAACCGACTTACTCGGCGAATTCTCAACACACCGTCAATGGCTGCGACATCAGCCGAGTATCTGTTAGTCACAGGATACCCATACCTAAACCACTCAATTTTAGGTTTACCAGAAGTTGAACTTGCCCTACATGTCACGGAGATGTCGCTTCCTGTTACAGCATATACCGTGGAACATACATCTACAGACAACTGGCTGGGTGTCCTGAGTCGGAATGTTTTCTTAATACAGATTATGGATGGTCCTGCAAAGCAAATAATTACAAAATGTCGTTTCACTTTCTGTGGTGATCCTATAGTCATTGTAATTACTCAGGTTTTCTCCTTTTGTTTCTTCTTTTGTTTGCTTTTTTGTTTTTAATAGTTGCAATCAGTTTTCCCCAAGATAGATCTTACGCCTTCTGCTGTCCTACTCGATCATGCCCATGATCAGCCGAGACAAGGCCTTGATAAAATCACAGCCAAAATGCATTTGCTAATTTCTCAGAATAACTACTGACCATGGGCTCGAAAACAAGTCCCGTCCGTTGGTCCAGGACTTTTCTTGCTGGGTAAGTAACATTTAAAGCTTACCTGCTTAAATGGTCCAGGCAAATCATTCTCTGACTGACTAAATCATTAATAAATACGAGCAAGAAGTCGCGACGGGCAATCAAAATGATGAGTGCTGCTTACCCAAAGTATAAGCTGGAAATGACATTGTGAAGCCAGCCCTGTGAACCCAGCACTTGCCGGGCGGCAGTTAATATGTGCCAATTACTTAAAGGGTTTATCTATAAAAAAAATTACTACGCTTTCGAAATAACCACGGAGTTGTTTCTCTTCCAAAATTCAGAACTAAGACGTTCACTACAAGCAATAAGACACTTATCTAAATAATATATTTGACATTGCTGGAAATAGGAATTATCCTATAATGTCTACAGTGTGACTACTTCACCTGTATTAACAAAAGAGGAAAAATTTAACGCGTAAAATTCACTGATTCAATTGACTTTCAGCGGGAAAACTTCGAAAAAGATGCTTCAAAGGAAAATCAACAAAATATAAATCTCCTGACCTTCCGTAACGGGAACACTCCCCTCAGGTTCATCTGCCAAAAAATCTGAAATTTAACAATGAAAGTTTCAAGTATGTCGCCTTTATAGTTTTAAGTATATCATAGTTGTCATACGTACGACCTTCCACTCCAGTTAACATGGACGGTAATGTCTGAACAGTGTAGCCCACATCATCAAAAGATTGGCTGTTGAGCCTAGGTTCCTACCCAGGTTTCTTGCCCGGCTTTTTTCACCACTGGGATTGTTTTCAGCAGGTTTTTTTTTTCTTTTTGTGGTCTCCGTTCTGACAGCATTGGTTTCTTTTTACAATTGTCGTTTGGCTGTGATTTATGTTGCTTATGTATTGCATACTTGGATGTAATAAGAGGTTACCGTGTGATAGTTTTCTGTTCTCGGCCAAACTACCAAAATAACGCCGGCGTTTTCTTTCATGTTACACTGCCTGGTGGAGCTGAAATCATGATTACATAACTAGACTGGCTGACAGAGCCTTTGACTATGTATAGCTTGTTAACGGACGTGTCCGAGCTCATAGCGCGCTATCAACAAGTCATATTCTCTACTAGTTTAACGTAATATTTTTACCGTGTGAGTTACTGGCGTCTGCATTTCGCCTCTCCCTTGCAACAGAACCATCATCCACAATTTGAAGTAACGACGAAAACGAATCTGGATGACGCGTCTAAAAAGACAATGAAATCCCTCGTAAGCTCTTCACTCCAATGTCACACTGATGAGAGCCCCCGAAAATTCGGGATTCTTCACCCCGTCATCCCTACAAAAATTCCTCATCCCGTAATCCCGACTATCCCTGAAATGCGTTTTAAAAATTGCCACTTAACCATATTCAGACCGGGCTTTTTTCGCTTCCTGCGAACCGGGGGGCGGCATTATGACGTCATATTATTGAATTTAAAGGAAGAATCCAAATTTCCCTTTCTCAATAGTAGTGATGTCATGATGACAACAAAATCAGCAAAATATGAAATCCCGATGGACTTGAACACTATTGAAAATTTAACTTAGCAACTAGCTGCCGTTTGGTCATACTAAACTCAATTTTTTTTTTTTCGTACTAGTAGCTAAAATGCCTGGATTTCAACAAAAGCTACAACAAGTTTGATAAAATAATGTTAAATTAAGTGTAATTTAATAATTCAATCACTAAAATAAAACCTATTTTTTAGAGAAAATGTAAATTTTGAAAAACAAGGCTGTCAAAAGTCAAAACTCGGTTGACATGGTAACATCAATGTTGACGTACACGTCAAGAAGACTTAAAAATTTTCCCAGATGAATTTTAGGAAAAGTCGCTAAGTTTGGTGGTCCTAGCTTGAACAGTTTTGAATTTATTCAATTTTTTAGCGAGAGGAAGCCTCAAAAGCCCCCCGGTCTGAATAGGGTTTAACCCCATGCAACATTGTTGTCCAACTTCCCAACGTTGTTGGATGTTACTGACATGTTGCGTCCCTTTGCATGCCCTTTTGTTGCGTGTCGTTGGAAGTTGCTGGGCAAAGTTTGAAACCGGTCAAACTTTTAGTTACGGGCAAATGGACGCAGCAACTCCGAACAGGAGGCTCTAGATTCTCAGTTCGACTATAGAGGACCAGGGGCAGAGAGTGGAATAAACAAGGCGGTCGAAAGAGTATGAAACGAGGACAACTTATGCTAAGTTAAAATGAATCTCACTTTTCGGACCGCTTGTCGATTCCTTAGAACATCATTTTCTGAAGCTCGTATTGTTAAAATTGCAAAATGTCGTGTCTCGGCCGCTCTAATGACAATCTCAGTCAAATCACGGTCCTCTTTATAGGAAGTTTAAATCACAAAATAAATCCCTGAACACGAACACCTAACGGGGACCAACCTTCTAAACAACCTCCCTTCCGCTGCACAACACCAACACTCGCCAAAAGAAACCCGTTATTTTATAACCTTTACTTTGGGCCAATGAAAGTTTTCATTAATGTACGTTATGACACGATTATGTCACAGTAGAATGACAATGACGGAGAGATTTAAGCAACTGTAATCAAGGGTGAAACCGTCAGTGGGGTAAAGACCAAACGCTCCATTGTCCCAGTACTCAGATAAGGGAAAGGGCATGGTCTACATTGTTCATTGATTTCTTCGAAGATTGTATCCTCCGCTACCCTTGCCACACGGTTGAATGATTTACCAGCAATTACTGAAAGTGGTTTCCCGCCTAACTGTAAAAGCTAGGATAACTTAAAATGTTATATTTATTTTCATGTAGTGACCCATCTAAGCGAAAGCTGGCCCTGGAGGGGAAATTAGTCAATACAAAGAAATTTGAGGAATCGCAACAGCGACCTCAAGATTACATCAGCCTTGCTATCGGATGAACACACTTGACAGGGTGTGCAAAGAAGCCATTTTACACTTCTTGAGTGTAAGTTGTCTTAAGAACCCGTTAGGGAACAATTGAGAATTGCTTTGACAGATTGTAACATAAGTATCCAAATAAAAAAGAAAGTCACGCCAAATAGACTCTATTTTCTCTCTGTTTTCGGCACAGAAAAAATGGCGGAAATGTGTGGTATTATCCGTAAAAGTGTTTTGAACATGTGGTTTACTGGGATATCAATGCCACATTCATAATTTTTAAGTTAAATGTGGCATTCATTATTTATTTTATTGGCTATGATATCCATAAAACATTTCAATCCTCAATTACGGTTTTCTTTCTTATAAGTGGCAAAAGCCAAGTCCAAAGAAAATTGACGTTTTTGTAAATGTGCTAAGTATTGTCAACCAGGACAATTTCGTTCACAGTCTTAGTTCAAGCTGTATCTGCTTAACATTTGTTTATAACTGAGTAAAGACACAACGGGTTAATAAATTACAATGTCAAGAATTTGTTTTATCGCTCAGTAGAATCGAAGTTTTGTCGCGGAAAGTATAATCGAAGTTAGAAACTTTGAGTCTCCTACTGTAGCCATGTAACCTGTTTGAAATGATCGCGAACCTAGTTTTGTTGTTTATCATTCTCTATATTAGGGAATAATGACCTTCTAGTCAACCATAAGGACCGTTGCTCAGGAGGCGGTTTCGTTCCGCTCCTTTGTTTCCGCCTCGATTGCCTATTAGACTAGTTATTTTCGGGTAGCATGAACAGAAAAGCTAAAAAAAAGTAAAGGTTGGAGTTGAAGATGACAGAAGACATTTGCAGATGATTTATGGGCAATAACTTTACTGCCTTCGGAACAAATGCAACGTAAAACAACCGTTTCCAATATTTTAATGGCAAAGCAGTAAAACGTTGTCGTTGGATTCTGGTGGAGTAGCCAGGATTTCGAATTAATACACATGTTGTATCCGGCTACTAGAACGCGTACAGGGTAACTTCCTGATAGATCACTAAAAAGCCAAATAATTAGCAGTTATTGAATGAGGCTGAAAATGATTTGAAGAATTACGAATTCAGTCTTGGACGCCATTTTTTAGGCTAGGTGGCCGCGCCTGGAATCGAGGATGATTGATGATTTGTTGCGGAAGCAGCCTTGTTCCTAAGCAAATACCATACCATCGATCCACCTCGTTTCCAAGCAAATATACCATCGAATCGAAGAACTAGTCAGTCCGCCGCTGAATTAAATTTTATACTTGCTATAACGAGGCAGTGTGGTCTGTGAGATAAGAGTACTAAATAGCATTTCAATGTAACAAGTGGCAAAAATTGATTGAGGTAAATTCAATAAGACGTTGTTAGTCATACTAAGTATCTGCTGCCTGTTTGTGGTCTTTAAATGATACATAATTTCAAACCGGAAACCATTATAGTGCTATAAGCCATTCTAACGTTCCGCATCAGTCGATCGATCAGTTAAAACGTTCCAGATTTTCTCAAAAAGCACTTTCATGCGATTTATAAGCTCGATTTTTTAGTGGATTGTCTGTTTTTGTTTGTGTGTGTGATTTTTTTTCTTGTTTTTAATTTAATACTTTAATACGTAAAAAAAGATAACGAAATTGTTGGCACCATTCCGTTTCTGAAGGTTCAGAAAATATGGGCTGTAATTTGAGTTTGTTCAGCTGATTTGGATATATATCCTCTGTAGCGGTTCGTATTCTTCGTATTCCCATCATGTCAAGATGATATAGTTTTGTATTTATGCATAAGATTTCCACCTGGGTGCTTTGTGTATATGGTAAGCACCCCAGATCAGACTTACCGTGTGGCACGAAATTTTTGCGGTTCTAAATTTTGCGATTTTTCCAGCGATCCGCAAAAATAAGGTTCGCGCAAATAAAAATTACCGCAAACATTTTTCCCGCAAAATTTACTCCAGAGTAACTATTCTCTAACTACGCTTTGTACACAAAACTGGTTTTACATGGAGTACGCACACCGTAGTATTTTTTGAAAATTTGTATTTCTATTGCACGTACTCGATAAAAACGAAAATATTATCAATGCTCGGTACTGGGTACTTTCTGAAAATCGCAAAAATTAATCCATGTTGCGGCTTCATGTCTTCAAGAAAGTGGGATAAGACCCCCGAAACCTTCTCATAGTTGCTCCGACCTCACGCATCTGAAAGCATCCACACTGTGAAACATGTCAGCAAATTTGTCACTACTACCATGTGACAAAGACGGACAAAAGCTGACAACGATTCCCATCTTACCAAAATTATCCTTCAATCTCTTGACTCACGCTATTAAACAGAAAAGGAGATAAAATCTTGATACTTTCCGAATGTTTACGCACTGTTCAATGTGCAATGGAACGCAAGGTACTATGAAGCAGCTCGACTAATAACTTCCAATCGACTATTGTCAGGCATTCGAATCTGTCAAAAAAGGTTTTGTCCCCGAACGGGGTTTGTCCATGATAGAATTTAAAGCATTATATTCCCAGATGTCGAGCCTCTCCAGACAAAACTTAGTAGACATGTCTGCAGAATTCAACTCGAACAGAGAATTATTTACTAGTAACCATTTGTGTATGTTCTGTCATCATTTTGCCATGAGTATGCAATAATGGTATGTTCAAATACTAATCCAGAAAATTTAAACTAACCTCCTCTTGTCTTGTGTCGATAACGCAACTGAAAACCAGAAGGAAGGCAAGGCATATTGGAATCCTAACAACGAAAAAGGAAAATATATGAGAAAAAATTGCAATTTTGTCATCCAGTGATTACAAACTCGCGTCGATGTCCCGATGGATCGCATCGCTTAAGAAATCGGTGACCTTTTGTACTTACCTTGAAAAGGAAAACTTTATCCTTGAACACTGCCTCATAATTTTGTGAAGTGTTTTGAGATGGTGAACGGCCGTGAATGCTCTACTGTATTCACATAAGTGCGCTGCAACGCGCCAAAGATTCAGCCCGAGTAATGAAACTATGGCACCCACCTCGGGCTGGCTGTCCGATCGATTTCCTGTTAAAAACCACAACAAGAATCACAACATATCGACGCAAATTCTTGGTAGATAAAAGGCCTTCTCAATCGCGCGCAGTTCACTATCAGTGCTATCACCGCCACGACACAATACAGCCTCCAGTGAAACGATCCCACATCAAATTCTTCGCATTCGCTGCTGTCACAAAAGGAGATTCCACCCAGGGAGTGTAATCTGATGCTTGGTAAGAACGACTGACTGTTTGCCAGCTTGTCGCAAAGATCTTCCAGTTTGAGGTTAGTAGAACGCCCTTGAGAACATAGCGCTGTTACTCGAAACACTGAAATTATCAATGTATTGTATAAAATTTTAGGCTGATACTTCTTTCTAAGTTCGTGAGGACTTTCATTGTGCGGTTGTTTAATCCCTCGTATTCCATAGAATAGTCGGTGTCGAAAGGTCAAATCTATTTACTGAGTATTGTGGCTTCTCAAGATCACTGTTTATTCCAGAACTGACTGAATGCATACGCCAACCTTCGCAGTTGGCTTTATATACCATTGATATAAGATGGTACATGTACGGTAGTGCCGGCAGCAAGTGGCTTGAACTTCGGTTGGCGAACTGATGATCGTTCAGAACAGATCATTCAGATAAACTGGCCCAAATGTGATTTACATAAAAAGAGTTTTGTAATTCGCATCTTATGTAAACAGGTATTTAGCAAATAAACAAGAGTTAACGTCAACAGTTTCAGTGAGGTATGCTGTAATTTATTGACTGATAAATTATTGCGTTTGCGTAGCTTTACGTTAGATTTCTATACCTCATGCACGTGAGTACACAAAGCAACGCCACTTTTCACTCAACGAGAATAAACTTCTAAAGTCCGAACACCGAGTCTCCAGTAATGCTATTCCAACATATTTTTTGTGTGTGTGAGTGGGTGTAGAATTTTCACCAAGGAGTGACACTGTCTGCAGTGAGTATAAGATTCCTAGTGAGTTATAATTTGTTGGTTTTGGGCGTGGTTAGGTGTGTGTAGAAGTAATTCCCTTTAGCATTTCCGTCTTCCTTTTTGTAACGCAGTCCATAGACTTTCTCTCTGTTTACTTGTGACAAGTCTAGCCGGTCCAATGCGTCCAACGGAGATGTTGTTGAACCTCGCGTCAATACCGTAATTATTAGCTTTCTAATGATACAAAGTAGCAGGAGCGGATTACTGATGGTAGTCACTCGATATAACGAAGGACTAAGGCACTGGCAAAGTAGAAAATCGGTAGTTATATCGAGGACCTCGTTATACAGAGGCTCGTCACATCGAGGTTCAGTTGTATGTACACGGAAAAAGCGCGTAGCACATCACAAGGGGGGGAAGCCACGCATCACCCCATCTCCTTTATTTTTGTATATTTTTCTTCCTTTCTTTTTTCTGCGGTTAGGAGCTTAAGTCGGCGGATGGGTCGCAGGTTAATTCTGGAAAAGAAACTAACCCAGACGAAGTCCACTGTTTCTGTAATGCGGCTTTGTATAATCAACTTAAAGAAGCCGGAATACTCAATGTACTCAGGTGACTAAAATGCAACAGAAGAGGAGTGATTATTGAAGTTGAAACTGAACAAAACAAAACCTTGTTCGAAGGGAGGCCCGGGTGGGACACTGACGGGGTGAGCGTTAGAAGGAGAATAGCTAAATCTAATTATTACGTAAAGCCAACTTTTAATCACTGCCAGCACATTGTTAAATGTTGCGGTTCAATTTTTCTCATTAATTTATTTTGAAAACATTTTTTTGTTTTTTTGTATTTTTGTTGTCGGTGCTGTTGTTGTTTTGTGCATGTGTGTGTGTTTCCAAGGCAGTTCACATTACAATTTAGGCTAAGAAGCACCAATTTGAATAACTTATTCTAATAACAAATGTTTCGGAATTGTATGAGGATTGCACTGCAGATTTGGTTTTTGGTGGCACGCCATTATGGAGTGCTGTGCTCTGCCACACTTATCCAATCCATTTTCATCATTTTAATTTATGGCCTCGTGAACCAAAAATGGTCTCATCAGTTTTTGTTTAGTGTATGTAGACGAAAAGTATCTTAAGTCAATTGATAAGTCTCTGTACGTAAGTCCACTTAGTTTTATTTTGTTACGGATCTTGTCACCATAAATGAAAATTGTACTGAGCAGTGCATGCGTGAGAGGTGATCTGGTGGTCAATCTGTAAAAATTAGCACTTTGTCAAGTGTCCGTTTTGTTTTAACCAAAAGGCTCATCACCATATTGATTTATCTATGTCGCGATGCTTTATGCCATACGATTTTGATGTTTCAGAAGTGTTTTTATAGGGTGAAATTCACATCGGATCGGTCGCTCATCGTTTAAAGTAGAATACCAAGCCAGTGTATAAACGCGCGCCCAGTTTAATTAGCTTTAAGCTAGTTACCCTGAGCAAAGCTAAAGCAAACTGGATTTCCATTTTGCTTTCTTGTTAAAAGCTGAGTTATTCTTTGAACGAGGTAATGGAAGCAGTGCTTTGCAATTAGGTACTTAAGAAATATTCACCTGCACGAGCACTGAACTGTCATCAATCATCACGTCACTAATGATAGTAGAAGCAACTTTTCTGGATAAATCGATAGAGACAAAGCTCATTTTAATGAATGTTACCTCGTAAGTCTAAAGATACATATTTTAAGCAGTCTAAGCAGTAATGAAAGATCCTTCTGCCAGTGCCAAGATTTTCTTTGTTCCTTGTTTCGCCTTCTTCTTTTTTCTGTCTCTGTTTTTTTTGTTTATACACCGATTAAAATGAAGTTTAGTTAATTAACGAGTCGGAATGTATTACTCTTATCAAGATGTCAGATTGCCTGTGTCGTTAATGACACAGTCTGACACCTTGATAATAGAAAACAGAATAATTTACCACTCGAATGTAGGTATAATAAAAAAGAATTTTTCCCGTTGTTTTGTTTTTTTTTTCTTTTCCTTCTTCTTCATCTGCTTTCTCTTTTTTCTCTTTTTCTGTTTGGGTGGGTGTATGTGAGTGTGCTTTCTTTATAGTTTAGCAACGGACTGCTGCATAACGTTTTGCGTGACCGTTCGCATGTTAATTCTATATCATAGGTGACAGATTAGGAACTTTCCTGTAAAACAAATCATGGGATGCGATTACTAGTCCTTCCATTGTCTATAATATGGTGGCTCTGTAGACGTGATCAAGTACTATGAGAAAGTCTGGCGTCCTACTTTTGTTTATCCTAATTCGACGGCGACGTATCTTCTGTGGATTGTTACCTTTGAAATCGAGTCACTTTCTTCCTTATTTTCTGCAAGAAAACGGAAGCTGATGATCGTAGAGCGCTATTACTCTAATCGTACGTGCGATGCGATGTTCGATTTGACTGGGGCGAAATGTGTCCTAAGTTATACACAGAACTCGGAGGGAGATGCGACTTGATCAATAGAGCATTCTACTGTCCCGACATTCGCCATCAAACAAAGACCACTTCGCGACAAGCACAGCTTGTTATGACACGAATGTTGCGTGTCTTCCGTCTACTCGCTCAGAAGCACAACCTAACGTACTGGCTTGGGCATGGAACTTTACTGGGCGCCGCCAGACATAAAGGGTTTATTCCTTGGGATGATGATGTAGACATTTTCATGCCTTCAGAAGATTATATAACTTTTTTTCAATCTGTAGCAAAGGAACTCCCCGAGGATATTTTCTTCCAAAACGTGGTTAGCGATCCTGCGCTCCAACCCAGAGACGAGGAAGTTAAAACGTATGGATTACATCAACACAAAATTGTCGGGATTGATGAACGAGTGTGGAACCCTAGACTTAGGGACAGGAATAGTTGCTATAGATACTGCAAGGCATTCAATTGCAGATGGCACGATGGCTTAATGGTTGATATCTTCGTCAACCCAAGTGTAAGCTGGTCGGTCTACCCTCTCAAGCTTATGGAATTCGAAAGATTTCTGTTTTTTGTTCCTAGCAACTGCAAGAAGGAGTTAGCTGGCATGTTTGGAGAAAAATGGTTTGAATTTCCAACTGATAAAAGGCCTGGTGGAACCTGGATACATTTCACGGTTGCGAAAAACTTAAAAGATGAAAGTGAAACTATTTGTATTTGGACGAAAATGTCAGGGCCATAAGTAAATGTCAAAATTAAAATAGCAATAAAAATAATTGGTTCCCAGCCGGCGGGGTACTCTCGTTTTCTTAGTTATATGGGCTCACAAACATGTGTGAGGTGTTGTGTTGCAACGGTCGGTTAGAAGATTATTAAGGTTTGTACACCTGTATATGTAATCGCGATTGATTTAATTTAAAAAAAGAAGAAAAAAAGAAAGAACGCTAATTTTTGAATAAAAGTTAACTTACCTCCTTTCGATATTGTATTCCTCATCTTTTATTCACATTTTAGCCCCATTTCTGCCGATCTCGACGATTTACCTTCTCCAGATTCTCCACTTAAAAGTTAACGTTATTTCTTTCTTTCTTTCTTTCTTTTTTTTTTTTAAATCAAATCAGTCGCGATCCCGTACAAACCTTTATAATCTTCTGACCAATCGTTGTAACACAACACCTCACATATGTTTGCGAGGCCATACAATCCTTCCGCAGGATAATTTGCATGCAAGTAACCCTAATGATGTTGCTAATAACGTTTTTGCTAATGTTGGTAAGACTACTGAGAAGGGAATACCCCAGGGAAATTATAGCCCCTCATTTTATCTGAGGGGAAATTTTGCTGAATCTTTCTTTTTATTCCCTCCCATTCCGCAAGAAATCGGGACTCTTATTCCTTTCAGTGTACCTGTTACTGTTTTAAAAACTATCAAGGACTATATATCTCAGCCTTTAGCTTCTTTTAATAAATGATTCCTTTACTTGAGGCAATTTTCCTGACAAATTAAAATTAGCACGTTAATTGTATCAACGCCTGTATTGGTAGCTGGAGGAGTTAATAATACTTTACCCTCTTCAATTTGGTTTCAGGGACAAATGTTCGACAACTCATGCACTTATTTCTGTCACTGAATCTATTCATCAGTCCATTGATAATGGTGAATTTGGCTGTGGCGTATTTATAGATTTGAAAAAAGCTTTTGATACTGTAAACCATACAATTTTATTAACTAAGCTTCTGCGTTATGGAAAAAGAGGTGTTGTACGTGATTGGTTTAAATCTTATTTATCCCAAAAAGGGCAGTTTGTAAGGTCATAACTCGATTTCCTTACCTGTGACTTATGGTGTTCCACAAGGATCCATTCTAGGATCACATTTATTCTTGTTATATGTGAATGATTTGCCTAATACTTCTAGCTTATTGACATTTCATTTGTTTGCTGATAATTCTAACCTTTATTTCTCCGGCAAAAACCTACGTCATCTTGAAAAAACACTAAATCAGGAACTTACATCTTTTGCTGAATGAATGAAGTTAAATCGATTAGCACTTAGTATCTCTTAACCTAATTATATTCTCTTTCATTCCAATAAACGTGACCCTAATCACTCTTTTTTGTATTAAAATTGAAGATGTACGTATTAAACAAGTTGGCTCTGCTAGGTACTTAGGCATAACATTTGATTCCAACTTAACATGGAAAAGTCATATTGACCAACTTTGTTAGAAACTATCAAAAACAGTAGGTATTTTGAGACATTGACGTGAGACATTTTGTCAATAGAGATATTCTCCTCATGCCTCATTACTCTCTAATTTATTCTTTTCTCGTTTATGGTGTTCATGTTTGGGGCTTAAGTTTTCCTTCATTTTTGTCAGCTCTATATGTAATCCAGAAAAAAAAGCAATTAGATTCATTTTTCGTAAAACCTACAGTAGACCCCACTCGGAGCTTTAACTTAACCTCAGATCAATAAGATTACTAAATTACAAGTACTTTCCTTTGTTTGTGAGTGGTCACGTAAACTGTTACCTTCTTGTTTCAATGAATATTTTAAACTTACTACTTCTGTTCATCCCTATGCAACTCGCCAATCATGCTCTGGTAAACTTTAAGTAGCCTCTGTCAATACCACCCATTATGGCTTGCGGTTCTACTAAATTGCGCTTGGGACACCTGTGCATCCACCCCGGGGAGTCTCTCCCCGGGGCATCCACGAGGTAAATCAACTCAGTTTTCTTGACGAACAAATGCGATTATAAATCCAAGACCAGCACATCAGTTTAATGACTTTAACTGAACAAAAATAAACTCACTCGTATCAGGATTCCAGTGTCAACAGATACATTAAGCCCATAAAAACGGTACTAAAAGTGTCAGTAAGAAACAACCGATCCCACTTCATGCTAAACGAGTCCTTAAAAAAAACTATAAACTGTCACCCAACAAAACATTAGGGATTTGGCGCCAATTTGTTTATTGACCAATTATATTCTTAAATATGTATTATAATGTGAGGCATGTTAGCATTATGACTATTATAGCAATATCCGCTATGACATCACCTACTGGTATTAATGTGCCAACCAGAGGTGCATTGGTTCTTGAAACAAAAGCTTCTTTTCTTTTACTTCGTTTTGTAAATAGTGATGTCTCCTATTACGGTCACCGGATCAGTGAAAAAAACATAAAGGAAAAGAAAAAACGGCAAGTTCGCATGCAAAATTAACTCGGGTGAGCAGAAACCAGTCGTTGATCGATCGGCCGGGTATTCGGGGACTCTCCTGAGCCCGCCGACGTGCTGCTTCTAGCAATTTGAACTTCTGTTTTGTTTCCTTTTGATTTTCCTTTTTATATATCAGTAGCTTTAGTTATTTAGTTATTTATTTTTTAACGATTTTTTTGTTAACGAGGGATCCACTGTAATTTGCTAGGCTGTAGTGGTCCCCCTGCCTAATAATTTTTATGTATTCATTTATAAAGATTGTATTCTAGTTAGGCGAAGCTAAATAAATAAATAAATTAAAAAAATAAATTCAAGAATATTTCTCGTGAAATAAGAAAAAGAATAGTCTTGTTATATATATATATATAATATAGTAATATAATGAATTGAAGATTTAATTAAAGTGCTCAATAGGTAAACTAGAGCGATGTGTAGATTTGCAGAGTTGGATTATTTGGTCGAAGACATTTATTGCTACTCAGAGTTTCATGCTCCTTGCGGAGCAATCATCAGGCAACTGCTAAAAATAACGGATACATATGAAGATATACAAAATTTGAAAATACAGAACAATGCGTAGTGGCGTGACATGCAGAAATATGATTGGTTGCTAAGCGAATACGTTCTGTAAACCCGAAATGTCAACCCTGAACAACAGAAGCGAACTGATATCTAATTGTAGACATTCTAAGAAATTCCTCTTGAAGAACGTATTCGCTTAGCAACCAATCATATTTCTGCATGTCACGCCACTACGCATTGTTCTGTATTATATTCAAAAAAACATTCTCTTTCCCATGAAGACAGCGAAACGGCATTTTCAACTCCTTCCACTGTGAAGAGTGTTTTTATTGCACGGATACGTGTTTTTTATTTATTTTTTTTTTATTTCGCCATTCACACTACAAACAAAGCAGTGCTTATATTTAGGGCGTGGATACCTTTACGCTTAACAAGCCCTACCAGACTTTTCTGAGAAGATCCCCACGTTTAAATATATAAATATGCTAGTCACAAATTATGATGGCTAACATGGACATTTAATATCATAATAGCTAACTAATATGGTATCTAGATATATTAACAAATAGGTATTATTGCCTGAATCATTTGTATAGAAGATTTAACCGAATATTTAAAAGAACTGTAAGATGTCATTTTGTTTTTAAAATTATCTGGCAAATTATTCCATATTTCTGCCCCTCTATATTCTACAGAGAATTTTCCATAACTAGTATGTACCATAGAAGCTGATCGTGTGTGATAGTTGTGTATATCTTCATTTTTTGAAAAATAATCTCTGAAGTTTGAGAGCAAATAGCCTTCATAACAGGCGCTTTTTTTATGAGCCAAGCGAGGCGAACACGGCATTTTGCGCGAAGCGTGAGACGAGGGGAGGAGAAAAATAAAGCGTCTGTTACCACTCCATTGTTCTGGCTCTTCTCACGTTATGACCAAATGAACGTTGCATTCCAATTGGTTAATTGATGACGCGTTGTTCTGGCCTGTGTGTCTAGCATGTTTGTCTGGTAAACTGTGACCGAGCAAATCTTACTTTTGCCGCACTGAGTCATAAAATATTGAATTTTATTTTGCCCTGGCAGTTATTTCCTGTGTTTTATGCTGTTATCGGTGTTTCTGGTAGCCAGAAAAGTGACAACTTTCGAGTAGTGGATGGTGTCTTGATTGATCCTTTTGACGTCACGCCCGTCAGTCAATACTTGTGAGCGTAGGTGGGCAGAAGAGCCAGAACAATGGACTGCAGCTATAAAGTGTTTGTTTAGTTCGTATATATATTCATTATTTTTAAAGAAGTAAAGATTGTTCTTGTTTCTTTTCTGTAACTTGAGAATGTCATAATTCTTACTATTTTTTTCTGTATCATAAAAATTGACTCAAGTCTCACTGGACACGTGCTGCTCTAAATAATATTACAATACGACAAGTGAGGATAAATCAATATATTATAGATAGTGACTGCACTTTTGCGAGACAAGTAATGCCTGGCTCTAGCTGTTATTCCTGTCATTTAAGATATTTTTGATGAGACATCTTACTAACGAGGGGAAGTAGGCAGAACTTGTGGCTCCCCAAAGTCAGAACTTAGACGGCAAGGAAGTCTTTTTACTTTAATAGATCGAAACTTTTTAATAATATTCCAAGTGTAATGAAGGATTTTACGTCATTTGTAATTTTCAAAACTCGTATTTTGGCATTACATAGATCAAAAGCTTTTTAATTACTTGATAAGTTTGTATCAGTTTGGCTTTAAGTGTATTTTAATTGTTGTATTTTGGCTTAAAATGTTTTTTAAATATTGTTGTATTTTTAACTTTTAATATATTTTTAGTTACTGTAAATTTGGCTAGTTATATAGATTTTTTCCAGGACCCTCACTGATATCAGCATTTTATGCAGAAGAGGAGGTAACCCTGGCTAAATAACATTTATTATTATTATTATTATTATTATTATTATTATTATTATTATTATTATTATTATTATTATTATTATTATATATCCTTCGTTGTCTTTTGTTTTTTGTCTTAAATATTATGAAGCGAGTTTTATTTGTATTCAAAGATAATTTATAGACTGAAAGCCGTGATGTTCAAGCTTTTCTTGCAGATATCTTATGGTTTACCATATCAAATGCCTTTGCATGATCTAGAAATACACCAGCTGTATTTCTGTACCATCAGCGGCCAGCGCTGATGATGGCCGCGTCTCTTGAAGCTGGATAATTTTTTTGTGTGTTTAAATAATTTAGTTTCTCGTGTTGGTGTCTTTTATTTGAATATGGAACGATCTCCCCCTTTCTATTCGCAATAAATCATCGAAAATCCTGTTCAAAAAGGTACTTAAAAAATATTATCTCTCTCAATATTGACTTCTGTGCGTGTGTGTGTGCGTTCGTGTTTGTGTTTTAATGAATAACAAAGCTATATTAGAATAAAATCAATCTGTTAAAGGGCCATAACTTTCTTTTTTTTATTATGTACACGTAGTTTAATCAACCTTGTACTAATTGATTTTGTACAACTAATGTATTATCTATAGGATGGAGTAAAAATAACATACAAAATACAATACAGTGTTAAACGGTTCACCCACGTAACGTTTTAAAAGCTTGGTTAATTTTTATTAACTCCAATTATACTACGCAGGTTTACAAACTAATTGACTCTTCAGTAGAAATGAAAACGATTCATTATTATCACATAGCTAGAAAATTCGCCTAATCAAATTCAATAGCGCGAGCGTGCTTCATATTCCTGTTGAGCACGCTGATGACGTCAATAAACTATTCGTAATTCCTCGAGTTGTTGGGAGCTTAGCAATCCTGAGTCTCCTGAGTGCATCCATAACTCAGCAATAGACAATGAAGCGTTTACCATGTGTTTTATAAGGAAATTTAGGAGGAAACGTTTGAATTTGTTAATCGACAGTAAGGAAAAGAGGCGAGTGTTGTTGTTGTTGTTGTTGTCATCTCCGCGAGCTGTGCGGGCTATGGCGTGAGATCATTCTTTGCAAAGTTGTTTTCTCTCAATAACAATTTTTCGGTAATTTAATAGTTTTCCGGCACCTAAGTATGGATTTTACAATCATTTTAGAGTACAATTTCTCTCAGTTTCAGGATAAAAACATAAGCTTAACTGAGAGGAAAAAAAATATACTCACGTAAACATTGACGCGTACTGCTTTGAGCGCGCTCTACAATAATAAAATTTTAAGTTAACTGATGCATTGATTGCTTTGATATTGTTATAAAACAATTAGTTCATGCTGCAGCTGTGCGTATGTCGAGATATTGAGCACTTGGGAAGTTTGGAGAGCACGAAAGAGGCGTATAAGAGTTGCACGAGGCGCAGCCTCGTGCAACTCTAGCCTCTTGAGTGCTCTCCAAACTTCCCAAGTGCTCAATATCTCGACATACGCACGCTGACGCATGAACTAATTGTTTTATAACAATATCAAAGCGATCAATGCATCAGTTAACTTAAAATTTTATTTTATTGTTAATTGAATTGATTATTGAATTGATTATTGCATTATTAAAGACCTTACATTTAACGAAGCTTGAAATCACATTCTTTCTCAATTGCTCGCTGTATTTATGCATGGTTGTATCTACTTTCATATCAGCGGCCGAGTTACATGGAGGTTGACATTTTCTGTAATGGAAAACTCTAGCTTTGTTCCAGTTCACATGGTTAGTTTTGTAGCCTTCGAATGGTTGCATGATAAGATGTACTCCATGTTCAAACACTCTTTGTGGATCATCAACGCATTTGGTGTGTGTCGAATCAGCTTGAGGTAAACGACGTAGAACGTTTTGAGTGAAAAGAGAATAGTTTTGAGTCAAGCTATCTACAGTGGGAAATCGTGCGCTTGGAAAACAGTGGCCGCAATAGTTAGAGTCGTGGATACTGTAAAGTAGAGAAGGCATGCTTTCATCCTGAAGCGGGATTATAAACTCGTCTAAATCGTTGAACGCAACGAAGTTGAGACGATTTATTGACCGGAACAAACAGTCTTGCATGGAAAAAATTTGCCCATAGTAATGGACATCTTGGTCTGTGATATAGGTGGGTAAACTCCAAGGAAGAACTTCTGCTACCCCTTTTCTTTCGTAGTAACTAAGCATTTTCCTCACGCTGTCAGAGATACTGTAGTCATAAAACGTAAAATATGACGCTCCTAAAAGTTGCGACATTTCCAGAAACTCGACTACCTCGGCGACTCGAATATTTCCAAACATCGGAGGAATGCAAATTCCGTAATCTCTCTTGTAAGATGTGTTTCTTGTGTTTCCCACAGGTAACTCAACCATACATTCGTTAGCTATCGAGATGTTAACAAAATTCGGTATGCCGACCAAATCTTTCGAAAGAATGCAGGACGCCACGAAGAGACCATAACGTTTGTTGCTGTATCGTTTGTTGATTTCATAATACGGAGTAACAGCCCCTACAGAGATAGTAGAAGTTGGCCCATTTGGGAAACGACATGAGAGAGGCGGTGGTTGGTTTCTACGTGAAGTCATCAACAATACCTGGATATAATTTTGAGCATGTCGATCATCAAACCACGCAGAGTAGAGCAATGTTCCCCTTTTACACTCGATGAAATCTGGCAATATATCCGTAGTTTGCGAGCAGTTGTTTATAGCTTCAATGGTAGCATTTGCATCTTCCTTCAAATTCCCGAGTCTTTCGTCGGGTTTAGGAATTCTATCGCTGATAAGCACATAAGGGGAAAATGAACTAACCATAAAGCTGCAAATCAGTATGAGTAGAAAAGATAAAAATACGAAGGTACACGCTTTACAATGTTTCGAAACCAGCCACATAAGCCAACGAAACATGATGCACGGTCACAGCGTTTGTTTGCAGAGACGTGTAGTCACTCATATTGGGAACTGGAAACCTATCACGTGTCTATTTGTGACCAATAGTCGGGAGAAATTGCCATTCTTCCCAGCAAGAAGCTTCCCATAGGTTTTTTCCTCTCGACCGTTCATGAAATTGAAACCATACGCAAATGTCGCAGCCAAATTAACTGTGTTACTCCGGCAATCCTACTTCGTTTGCTATTTTCTTCTCCACGTTAGGATAAGGATAAAAACGTTACAAGGATTTGAAAGCAAGTGTCAGGTAAGTTTTGATCTCAGAACAAGGAGTGGCGAAATTATGCACAAATACGCGTAGAGACAACAGCACGTTGCTCGAAAATCCGAGATTTGCGGTAAACACGAAATAAACGGTCACACAAAAGCTATCTAAAACACAAACTGGAAATTTTGAGATCAAATAAAAATATTTTTCTGGATAGCTTTCGCCAATCCGCTATACCTTGCCGTAAAAAGCTCATCTCGGTTCGGTGTTAGCTCGCGTCCACGCACATCGAAGCTATTATTGACGGCGAGGTTGGATACTTTTTGCGTTACATTTCCTTGTATATCTAGTGCAGAAATAATTGTTGAATCGTTAAATAAGAACCGTCGGTTATAAGAAATTAATATCTGTGACATTTAATAGGGAGAAATGGAAGGAAATATTAAGAATTTAACTCGGGATCTCAGGATAAAGTGTAGCTGAGTAGACATTTTATAGCCATTTTGTCTAAAGGGAAAAAGTTGAAGACTGAAAATTGCCTTAAGTAGAATAGCTTGTTTGGCTGAGTAAACACCATATGGCATCATGGCAAACAAGGCTGGGCCGATGCTCCACTGTTTTCTTGTTGAAAAGCTCTTTCTGCTGATTTCATCTCAGTTCACTGTGCTTAAAATCTGAAAAGTAATGCCCTACCGTTAGCGAGTGGTAACCGTTTAGTGGGTATTTTAGAAATGTGCAAAGCCACAATTTCATGAAAGTGGAGTCAGCTGCAAGATATCGACCCTACTTGAGGATTTCAAGCTTAAAACGAAAACTTTGGAAGCCATCCTAATCTGCAAATTTGCCGTTTGTCGCCTGGCTATTTACTGCACGTGAAATTTAACCCGGTAAGAAACGAATAAACTATTTGGAATGAGCGTTTGCCGTGTAAGTAAACCGTAACATATATTCGTCCTGCGAATTCAGTACACGAGGCGATTATAAATGTTAGGTGTTACCAAAATTAACGCTCTAGCCAGAAGGTAAATTGGGCCATAATTTTCAGTCAAACCCTGGCCGAAATAAACCAAAATAGGACCTTAAAACGTTCAACCAGAGGTGAACCAAAACGAGCCTCACTGACACGTAAATATTGGAGCCACAAAATAAACCAAAATAGAACCCAAATCCCAACTATACTCCAGCGATGCAAAAACCGGGCCAAAATTGGTCCCAAATTACGCTATAATTTGGCTGAACGGTAACACGGTAATGAACGCTGTCTGCACGCTGCATATTTCTGTAATCCTGTTCGAGCTAAATTAGGCCACATTTGGGCCAAAATTCCTCTGTAGTTGAGGCTGACATCCAAACATTTTTGGGTCCAGAGTTCACTCAACAGCAACTCGACACCGGCAAACTCAAGATTGCGTGCCAAATGTTCATTTTCAAGGTAGATAAATAGATAAGCACGCTAAATTTAGTATTAAATAATTGATAAACGTTTGTATCAAGATCGCCCCAAATCATCAGCTGGATTTTTAACGCAGTATGGCAAATTAAAGTACATTGCTACCAGAAGTTTTCTACAAAAAATATTACATCAAAGAACGAAACCGGGTCACGAGTCGTTTTGAAGGTATATTAGAATCACGAATTCACGTCACGTACAAAGGCCACTTGCTACAGACTGTTCCTGCATTTCTTCAAAAATCACAAAGAGATTATATTCATTCACAAACATCAGCACCAGCACTGCGACGATCACAATTTCCACGCATACATAACTTTCACTCACACAAGCTCGATACATTTTGACACGCGACCCGTACTAATACCAAAAACAAACGGTCCTTGCAAGGCGACTTTTGGGACTTTTTAGGTGCAGTGTTGAGACGTCTGTCCGAATTAAAATAGATGCAGTTATGAAAACTAATTCTCAAACGTACAAATGTTAAGTTTCAATGTAACTTAGATCGGGAAAACGTTTACAGGAGAAGAATCTCCGTGTTAAACAAACTAATGAAAAACCCAAATGCCCGCCGAAATAAACTAACCAATAATCATGTGTCTCTAAGGCGACGTGAACATGAGGTGAACATATCGAGACAGAGTTTACACAAAACAACGCATGGAAAGTTTCAAGTGGACCTGTCAGGTTTACCACGGTAAAGTAAAGACGATGTCACGAAATTGTTTTCATAGTAAAGCCTTTTCTACTGTAGTAGTTGTAAAGGCTTTACCATCACGATTCAAATACATCATATCTACTGGTCGGAAGTGTTCAGGTGCAAAACAT